TGATACATTGTTGCTGACCCTACGCACACCCGCAACCGAAAACATTTCTACTGACCCTTCATAACAATGTTTCCGTTGTTGTGTTGGAACCGTAACAATGTTCCTTTGTTGGCGCAGGGTCAGCAACAATGGTTTCCGTGCGCCGTTGGCCGTCGTCGCTAACATTGTTACGGACGCAGCACAAAAAACATTGTTACCGAGCCTCCCTCGCAGCACAGGAAACATTGTTCCGACTACAAAGGGAAAATATAAAGTGGGGTCGGTAGAAATGTTTTCCGTTTGTAGCTCGGCAACAATGTTTTCCCTCGGGGTGTCGGTAACAATGTTTTCCGGATGTGTCGCCTTCATGAAAGTGGAACATTGTTACGGACCCAGCGAGAAGCAGTGTGTGTTGCCATTGATAATATTGTTAGTACCCAGTGCTACCAACGGTTAAGGAAGATCTACTGGCCAGGAACAATGTTATGGATGTCAGATGTAGTGAAGGACCTTCTAGACAATATTACATTTCTAGATTATCTTCAATTGTATTTTAATTTTATTAATTCTAATAACCTCCGGAGAAAGCATGCCTTTACATATTATAAAGATGGCGCCTACCTTGGTCTTAAGGAAAAAAGGAATTGGCATCCCATTGCGGATGGCTGGACCGGGCTAACTCGGTTTTCAGGCTTTGGGCTAGGCTGATGACACCAGATCTTCCTTAGCCGTTGGTAGCGCTGGGTATTAACAATGTTATAGGTGACACCACACACACTCCTCAGCACCCTGTCACTTCCATGAAGGCAACACATCCGACGCCTATGGTGTGATCGCCCTTCCTTGTACCACAAAACACATGGGTGTGTCAGAAAACACAAAGACTCGAAGGGCTATTCATAAAAGATAGGAGGTGGTTGGGCCCTCAGTCGACCTCTCAGTGGCAATTTTTCTGCACTGAGTAGAAACTTGGATCAGTGTGAACACAAATACCAAGTTAAAGTGTTTATTTGACCATTTATGAGTTCATAAAGTAAAGTAAAATTAGCTGCCAAGTTAAAAGACCCTGGGTTCATTTTATGCATTTTAAGTTAACTAGTCCGCATTTCTTATCGGTTGCATTCTGTCATCAGACCTGCAGTTTGTATCACCATCTTATTTACTTTATTATTTCAAACAACATGGTGTCGCAGGTCTTCAATTTTTTGACTTAATTAATATGCCACTTATTTAGGGACGGAGGAAATACCTTGCTATCAGTGGGCTTCTCAGAATATCATAAAAGGAAACTACATCTATTTTTTCCATTGTTATATTTCCTATGTTTGTATCCATGTGTTGTTGTGTTGTCACGTTGAATGTTGCATTTGGTATCTAGTATATGTGCAACGGTTTCTTGGTCTGTTATCAGACCTGCAGTTTGTATCACCATATTGTTACTTTCCTAATATATGTGATAGTAGTTTGCATTTCACTGCACTAAATTCACATCTTCAACTAACTAAAGGTAAACTCTTCCTATCCATAATCTGAAGGAACACCCGTGACAGACCGCTCGAAGGCCGTCGATTCATTCAAAACCTGACGCTCAAGATTTTGCCTCGTATTTGTGGAAAAAAAATCAGCGTAAACCCCGCATGTAATCCCCTCTCCCCTTGCGAGCCCATCATCCATACTCGCCCGGTCCGCTTCGCTCGCGTCGCCGCCAGCTCTCCTCGCCAGATCCACTGCTCCGCCGGCCAGCTCGATCCGCCTCCCACCTCCACATCTCCGGCCAATTTCCGCCCCTGTTCCTCCTTCGATCCACGTCGTCCAGCATCACGACTGCCCTCTATTCCTCTCCACCGATGTGTACCTCGGGCGACGGTGCTCCATCTTGGCATTAGCAGTTCGAGGCTCCAATCACGGCTGCGATTCGTGCTTCGCCAGGCTCCACCATCCATTGAATCCGCTGCATTTGGGGTTTCTCCTGCCGGCCGTAGAACATGCATCGGATTACAAGAATTCCGCCCTATTCAAAGCGCACACCAAACCCAAGGTATTTGAACTGCGTCCGTCGCCCTGATTTGTGGACTTTTCGTTTTTGCAACGGAAATTTCTTTGTAATTCATCCAGCAGCCTAGTATTGGTGACAATTTCCCTTAGTTTCAATATTTTTTCCATGCTTCCATTGAATCTGACGACTGTTGAGCGAAATATATTTCAGTGCTTCCTATATACAGAGCTACCAATATATATGTAACCATAGTTGGCCGTAATTTTGTTTTGATTTCATGTTTCAAAATTTCATGCTTCCATCTAAGACTAAAGTTGCACTCTCTGCAGTTTTTCCCAACTTCATACACTCATGTTTCTAATTTGTGACAAATTTGCAACGGTCGTCTAGAAAAATTGCTTCCACTTTTAGTGCTTCCTACATTAAAAAATGTGACCAATTTGTCAACCTCATCTCTTAATCGCTTACAATAGGTTAAGATTTGTGTGGTGGCAACACAGCAGATGCATCCTCATAATGGCACCAAGCTTACTAATGCCAATGTCATGTGCCATATAGTTGAGTGTCCATATTTCGTGCTTCCTACATTCTTGATGTCATCAGTGAATTATAGTTCATATGCTTCTCCTGTTTAGATAGTTGCTGCCATGAAAACTGCTTCTTCTTTTTGCATTTTTTTATAAACGTTGTCTTGTAAGCATTCTAGAGATCTCCCCCATTAATTTTTGTATTTATACAGCGAATTAAGCTACCTATATTGCATGGTTATGTGCTTGGATTACAAGCAGCACATGGAAGATAGCAATGTAGCTAACTCCTGACAGCTTGTACTGAGGTGGCCTCCCTGCTTTCTATCCTTATTTCTTGCATACATATCCATGGCAGTGAATTTATGCTTCAACCATTGCCAGTGTGTCCTTATTTTATTGTATATACATTCTGCTTTCAACCAATACTTGTTTGTGCTTCAATCAATATTAGTACGCTTCAACCACGACCGGTGTTCCTTCTTTGACTAATGTTATTGTACATTCATTTTGCTTCTTCCAGTGATCCTTACATGTATATGTTTCCATGGTAGTAAACTTTTGCTTCAACCATTGCCCATGTATGCTTCTTTTATTTTTATAGACATTTTGGTCCAACCAATTCCATTGTGTGCTTCAACCATGGCTAGTGTGGCTTCTTTTATTGTTTTTCTATAAAAATAGTAGGGAAGACCCATACAATTTATTTACTGATGTTGTTATACATGCATTTTGCTTGTTGCAGCAAAAAATATTGTTTCCACAACTATCGTGTGTGCTTAATTGTTTGTCACTGATCTTCTGTTGCAGACATTTTGTTCCGCTTGATGTAGTCATGCTTCTACATTTCCAGCACAATGGCAATGGCTAATGTGATGCAACCTCTAGGCTCCGTTGTTTGTTGGTGGTTGCCTTGTTGACGATGAATAACTGGCGGTGCACATGGAGCTCACACATGATCGGCTAGTTTAACACGCAGTGATGCTGGCTATGCAGAAGTGAAATTATTGTTGTTTAGGAATAAAAGTGTATAATGTTCTTATCAATTAAATTTGTGCATATGTATATTCTTGTTTTGCTTCCATACATTTTATTTTGCAAAAAGTAAATGTTCCCATCAAACGCAAATATTGTTTCTTCTGCACCAAAATATATTTCCAAATCATCCAAATGCTACCATATAGCATAGAAATAATGCTTCTATTGACGCAAAAAAAATATTTCTATCAATACGGTCGACAAATATGGAATAAATATGTTCTCATCACACCATAAAAGGATGCTTCTCCCGAGAAAGAATAATGCTTCCATGCCACCTAATCATGTTGGTATGTACAAAAAGTATCTCGAATACTATTTTTTTTCTTATATTTGTTTGTTGGAAGCAAATCACAAATTACCAGATTTTTCTTTTATAATAAAGGATATTTGGCGTGATTTATGGGAAGCAATTTCTGGCTAATGGCCAAGTACTATGAATCTACCATTTGTTGATGCGTGTGTTCAATCATGAAGTAGTGATTTAGGAAGCAATGAAAGCAGTGATTTAGGAAGCAAGGATAGTTGGCATATGTAGCAGCGTGTTTAGTGGAAGGACTAACCGGAGCAATTAATTAAGGATCCAAACCAACAAACCATGTGTGGGCCATATTAAAATATTGGACGGCTACAAGGCTTTTGATCCTACGGTGCTCCACTAGTCTGATGGGAGCAAGGGATCAGTAGTCTGATCCCTAGTGCTGCCCCTAACTAAATCTCTTCACTATCCTCAAGAGACTGGGATGTACCATGTGTGGTGCTTTTTCTCGACCTTTAATTGAATAATTAATAATTTATTCCAAGCGAACGGAGAAATGATAAGCTATGTCAAAAACTCTAGCAAATATGTAAATGTACTGCTTCAATAGCGTTGTTGCGATGATTTTGCTCGTCAATACTAGCTGGAAGAGGTATTTATATTTAGGTAACACCACATGAATTATTGTATACCTGCGCACGAAGACTAGTTCTTCCATGGCTTGGCATTGGGGGCAAATGGTGGTGCGGTGCCCACCATGATAGATCGGGATCGATGGCTGGTTGGAGGAGGTTCGGCAGGGATGGGGTTGCATGGGAGATATAAAGGGGTTTTGTGCAAAAACAAAGAGGGGAGTGGTGGGATTCTTTTTGTTAAAGTGCCACTACTGGCCTTGCATGCGCGAGATATAGATCGGACGGTCGAATGTGTGCTCGGACCCCTGCTCCTGCAGATGTCATCAAACAAATTCGATTCAAATTTGGTTTGGTTTGGTTTGCTTTCCTTGCGATGTACGATAGATAGATGTCCAATCACGCGTTGCCCCGCCTCAATAAATAAATTCCCCCGGACCCTAGCCCAACCCATCCCATAGCAACCAAATCTCCCATCTTTTCCTCTCCTCCGCCGCCACCACCGTGTTTCTAGGGTTTCCCCCATCCCCAATTCGTCCGCCCCTACCCCCAGCCCGGATCTAGCAGCGATGGAGACCGCAGAGGCAGGCGAGAAGAAGATGATCATGCTCAAGTCGTCCGACGGCATGGAGTTCGAGGTGGAGGAGGCAGTCGCCATGGAGTCGCAGACCATCCGCCATTTGATCGAGGATGACTGCGTCGACAAAGGCATTCTGATTCCCAACATCAACTCCAAGATCCTCTCCAAGGTCATCGAGTACTGCAACAAACACGTCCCGACCATGCCAGGTGTCGTCGCCACTAGAGCCACAGGTGCCGCTGCGTCTGATATCGTGGCTCCTGCCGCCCTAGCTGAAGACCTCAAGATCTGGGACGCAGAATTCATCAAGGTCAACCGTGCCACCCGCTTCGACCTCATCCAGGTATCATATCCTTCGATTCGACCATTTTCTTTTTCTAGATCTACTTTTTCTAGATGTTCCCCTTCTGGCACTCGATCTAGATTGGGCTTGTGCGTCTTTGTACTATTTATATTAGATTGGACAAACCCCTCGTACATCCATCAAGGTAGATTCGATTCGATTCGATTAGACTAGATTAGATTTAGATTATACATGATTGTGCTTTATTAGCGACGTACACGATTGGCCAGCCATACGAAATCCTAGTAAATTGGTTAGGGCATCATCTTGTCTGATATGTTTCACAAATATGTTCATATCATTGTTATGCGTAACCTAGGAAGCTTTATTATGATCAGTGTGAACTTACAAAGCTGCACTATCAATGTGCCCGCAAATTGTATATGATTAACGTGTGGAAACATGAGACTACTCATAGCAATATATGCTTTTTATGATTATACTCATAACAATATATGGTTTTTATGATTATGCTGCATATATTAATGCTTCTATCTCGCACGGTAGGTCACTTCATGTGTTGTTTTGTGTTTTATTAGCTTGTAACACATCTTAATGCAAAACAATCTATCTAATTATCCATGTTCTATAGCCATTATAGATTAATGCTTCTCTTTGACACCCTATGGTTCTTTTTACCCCCTCTCAGGCTGCAAGTTACCTCAACATCAAGGGGTTGTTGGACCTGACTTCCCAGATTACTGCCGAGACGATTAGTGGCCATACCCTGGAGGAGATCCGTGGTTTCTTGAGCATCAAGAATGACTACTACTTGCCTGAGGAGGAGGAGGAGGAGACGATCCGCAGGGAGAACCAGTGGGCATTTCAGTAGAGCAGCATCTAGGTCGCATTGAGTGAACGCTTAGTATTCGTCATGTCAACCTTTTAGCTGCACTCTTTGTGTGGTTGTAATTGTACTGGAGTTTATGAGGTGGCATCACTGAACATATTCAGTGTTTATGCTTGCGTGAATATATTTGTCAGTGTCTTTACATGAGGCTGGAGTGGGCGGTGTAGTCCACGGGATGGTGTGATCCACAAGGAGCCGGCATGTATCTCTCTATGGTGGATGGTGAAGTCCACAGGATGGTGTATTCCACATGGTTCTAGCAGGCTGGGTAGTCCAAGGCATATTTAAGGTGGTCTGTAAATTCGTCAAGTTAAAATTGGAGAGAGATTGTTGCGACCAATGAAGCATATCAGTTTAACTTGTCATGGTGCGAGAGAATGAGTCAACAAAGGATGATCTACAAAGAGTCAAGATCGAACCAGCACATAAGACAAAATTCAAAATTAGGAAGAGATTGTTAGGTCTTGAATTAGTAGAGTCCTACGTGATGTAGCTCGATAAACCATTGGCACCACGCCTATGCCTGCAACAATATGCATCAAAGCGGAGCTGATCCTCCTTCAGAATCAGGTGGTATAGGCAAAGCCCCTGTTTGCGCCATGCTCCGTCTTCTAGAAGAAGAAAGGACCATGTCTGCATCCAGTTTCAGCACATCTCCTCCTCCTTGGTAGAAAGAAAGAAAGCACCGCCACTACTGAATGAATATGCACACGGAGACCATGGTAGCCAAGCTGGTGCCATGCTTGCTCTATAGACTCTAACAAAAAAAAAGAGTATGACAAACATCTTTCTCTTTGTTTCAGGCAGTATAAACAGGTAGCAAGGAAAAACCATATAATACTGTTTTTCCTTGAAGGCAAAGATCCCGAGAAAGAGCAGTTGCCATCAATTTTAGCTGAAGGACGAGTATTAGCCTCAACTGGGGGACACTTGGCTACATATGGCATGACACAGAATATAAAAGAACTACCTGCATCTGACTTCCATAGGGTGTATTTTCATGAAGCGACTATTGGATCAAAAATCCCCCATACAAGCACTACTTATCTCACAACATGAAAAGAACTTATTATTACCAAGAATTCAAATGACAATCAGATGTACAAATATTAAAGAAATAGTCAAATTATCGCACACAATGGTGCTAAAAAAATTACTGGTCTAGTTTATGTTACTCAATGGAAGAACCAAAAAAATAGTTTTGCAAGGTCCCACCTGATCTTTACTATAAAAGGTGAGTTAGACATTATAAAAGCAATCTATAATTTGAGATACTACTCCCTCCGTCCGAAAAAACTTGTCCCAAGCTTGTCCCTCAAATGGATGTATCTATCATTAACTTGGTGATAGATACATACATTTGAGAGACAAGCTTTTTCGGACGGAGGGAGTACTTGATATAAAAGCCAACTCTGTAATATTCATAATCCTTGAAAGGAACCATTTCAAACAGTAGCCTAAATAAAAGAAGGACCATGATGGCTAGTAGCCAGTAGTAGTAGGTACAGTACGACGGACAGGAAAATGTACAATCAAAACCTTGATACGGCCAGGCAATAATATATACCAAGTAGAATAAAAAAATCAAGTCTAATGCATCCATCATAGCCATTGAGAGATGGTAATCCTAACAAAAAGTATTAGTTTGCTTGCACTGTATGACAAAATGACAGAACAATGGTCCATTAAATAGAACGTGCATTATGGACATCTTGCTTCTAATGAAAATTCCAAATGAATAATTATGGCCAAGGGGAACATGCACACAATATAATGGTGATGCAAGTCCAACTATAACCGCAACAAAATAAAGCATGAAACAGAGGAAGCATCTCTTCTGATGGGTTAGAACCAAAAGGTGCACAAAGTTTCCCATAGCGCTGACATAGTATCTTCAGCAACGAAAATAAGCAACTTGTGAGGATCACCTCTCTGGTATTGACTTGTGGAAGCTTCCCATTTATTTACATCCTTTGATTCAGCACTTCCACGAACAAGAGAGCTACAAACAGATTGATGGCAGAAAACAATGATCCAGTGGCTCGTGTGGCATAAAATATATCTGTATGTGCGGATACATAGAGTTTAACTCGTGTGGCATAAAATGGACCCAGTGGCTCGAATTTTTTATTTTAGTCCAAAATAGTCCTCCAGATATATAATACATTTACATTAAAATTAATATTTTGTAGGAAACAACATGACCTATCTTTCTATGCTTGAAAAAGCTTAAGTAATATAAGGCTTTCAAAAGCTATGCCAAAACTCTGAAGTAACCGTGAAACTGCCCTGTATTTTCAGAACAGAAAAAGCTAGCAACAACAGAAATGCTAGTACAGCATTATTCAATTTTGAGATCAGATGGCCCTTGAAAAAGTATCAGCCAGTA